GGACTATTTATTTTATGTATTTTTTTACTTTTTTTATTTTAATTAGTTCTTTTAATTCTCCTTTACTTGATTTTTAACATCATAACATATTTTAAAAACTATAGAATGTGATTAAAATAAATTTCATTCAAAATATTATTAAAATAAATAAATAAATAATTTATAGATAGAGAATGAAGAGAAAAATAATAGATTTGTATGAATTAAAGAATAACATTTTCAAAAAAAAAAATAAAAAAATAAATGCATTTAAAAATCATGATGTATAATAACATCTTTTATATATATTTACAAAGAAGAAAGTTCTTCTAAGACAAAAGCAAAATAAAATCAAAAGTTTTATAGATAGAGAATGAAGAGAAAAAAATAATAGTATTTGTATGAATTAGAAGAACTAACATTTTCAAAAATAAAATATAAAAAAATAAATGTGCATTAAACTCATGATGGTATCAATAAACATCTTTTATATATATTTTCACAAAGAAGAAAGTTCTTCTAAGACAAAAGCAAAATTAAAATCAAAAGTAAGAAAAAAAAAAAAAATATATATATATATATATATATATACACACAATTAGGTTATAATTACTTTCTATACTAGTTTACCCATACCATTATGGCACACCAACACCAACTGTCTACTTATGCAGAATTTTTAAATTTCCTTTAACGGTACCACTTATATAATATCAGAACACAAGGCCAGCTAAAACTTAAGCCATTTGATACTATCATAAAACAGCCGGTACAAAGGCCCCAAGTGTTTTTACCTTAATTATATTTAAAACAACGCATATTTCATTATTATCTATATATACACACAATAGGTTATAATTACTTTCTATACTAGGTTACCATACCATATGGCACACCAACACAACTTGTCTACTTATGCAGAATTTTTAAATTTGGTACCATAGTAAAACAAGCCATTTGAAATACCTAACATTACCTTAAAAAAACATATTTATTATTACTTCTTGTTGTCAATATCTAAAATGCTCGATACATAAATTTACCATTTTACTTTTTATGAAAAATCTTGTGACACCTTTAACTTTTATTTTGATCCATTAAACACTTTAATTTATAAAATTGGACATATTAATTAACCCAATAAACATCTAAATTTATAAAATTAGATTGATTAAATAATTATTAAATGGTTGAAAAATATAATAATTATTGTTCTAAAATTTATATTAATCACGTATTAAATCAATATTTTACATATAAAAATCAAAAAAATTTTAAAATTATTATTTTTAGGATAAGGAGATGTAAGATTATTACAAGAAAGTAAAGTTCAGGATGTCACAAAATTTTCTAGTCAAAGTTCAGAGGTTAAATTATATATGCAGATGTTTCTAAAGCATACAACCACAGTTGCTAAACACAGCCCAATCCGAGGAGTCAATCCAAAATACCAATAAACTGGATTCAAAATTACGCTAGTTTTGCTTTGAAACATGTAAGGAAGAGAATTGACTTGAATCAGCTAACCATCGTTGAACCGATTGAACTGCATAGACCCAATTAATCCGGCCATCTTTTTGATATTTTAATTATTTATTATTTTTTTTATTTTTATTTAAATGGTGCAATAACTGTGCCATTAACCTAGGCATAGCCAGTTCAGTGAACCGCCGGTTCCGATTCACTGAACCGCCGGTTCGAGATGTTTAAAATTTTGAACAGGAACCGACTCTTGAACCTCCGGTTCCGGCACGGTTCGACACGGTTCCAGTGAACCGACGGTTCCAATTACGGTTCCGATTCGATTCCGGCATTACGCAAATTTTTAAAAAAATAATAAAATTTTGATTCCGAATTCATAAATAAATAATAAATTTAAAATGTTTAAATTTTATTAACTAAATATAATAAATTTAAAATGTTTAAAATTTTATTAACTAAATAAATTAAATTATTATAAAATTTTAAAAGAAAAACTTCTATTAACTAACTTAGAACTATTATTACATTAAATTTACAAATTGTGCTAATTCACTAATATAGAAAACTATAAATGGAATATAAAATTAATGGAATGAGTTGGAAATTATTATTTTCAAATTCTAAGAAAATTATTAAAAAAATCAAATGAAGTCAATTTATGAATGGAAAAAATTGAGATTAGAGAAAGAATTTGGAATTGGATGTAAGAAAATAAAAAATGAACAATAGATAATTCCAATATTAAGGAAAATAAAGATAGAAAAACTAATGAACTATGGAAATTTGAGAGAATTTTGATTGAAAATAAGAGAAGAGTTAGGATATAATTGGTTCTGAAATAAAAAATCATCAACTCATCATATTTATACATGTTTCTTATTTATTAGTTTCCCAAATTGTCCCTTATATTTATTAGTTTCCCAAATTGTCCCTTATAACAGAAAAATAACAGCTATATTTTTGGATAATTTAGTAAATTACAGTAAATAAATAAATAAATAAATAATTAAAAAATAAATAAAATTTATTTACCAAAAGATAAATAAAAAACACCTATCATATCAAAAACTATCCATTACACTCTTTTTTTGTACACTTGAAAGTTTTTTTTTTATATATAAATCAACTATTTATGTACCATTTTTTGTATATATTAAGTTAAAAAATGTGTATTTTTTCACCACTTTTTATAACTTATGTACCATTGTACTTCTCTTCACCATAAATCAAATTAACTACAATCAAATCAAGTGATACAATTTTTTTTATAAAAATTTTAACCTACAATTTTTTTGCGCATCCGGTTCGAACCGGACTGGAACCGTCGTTCCGGTTCATATTTTAACATTCATATGAACCTTAACTGGCCCTTGAACCGCCGGTTCCGGTCCGGTTTCAATTCGTCTACAGTACGGTTAGATTCCAGTTCGGTTTTAATTAGAACTAAACTGGTGGCCATGTCTACATTAACCCATCGATTAATAACATTGCATGTAACCCAAGCAAGTGAAATTAATCATGTGGATATTTTAAATTTTAGGAAATTGTCGATCTAAAGCACTGTTCTCAAACTCCACCACGCCGGCCGATTGGATCGGTTTAAATGGAAATCGGGCTCTAGTTCTGTCACGACCCGATTCCACGGGCCGGACCGGCACTAGGGCCCAGGTAAGCTTAAGGCCCCCGAGGCCCGTAGTAAGCCTGGAACAGCCCCCGAGGCCCGTAGTAAGCCTGAAATACTAAAATTTGCTATCTTAATATACATTTCAAATATTCAGCCCATATTACAAAAAAAAAATAAACCTCAAGATTTTATTTCATCTCATTTCTAATATAGGCTCACAGAATCGTTTCGTCTACGATAATACACAACTAAATGTAAGTAAATTCTATAACTGCGAAGTCACTAACTGTTTGATATACATAGTCTTTTATACATACAGTTACATAGTCAAATAATTATGGAACTAAGGAAAATTTCTTTAGTGCCCTGTGTCGAAGAAACGTAACCTAAATCGAATTAAAGAGGAACTTACTTCCTGAAAAATTAAACAAGACATGTGAGTTTTTCCTAAAGTAATAATTATTGCACAACACATACAGTCACACAAATGTGTAAACATATCAATCTAGTCATCCGACTAGTTATATGCTCACACAGTCAGTCACCGCAGCCAGTCACAACAAAATGGCATGTCACCAAACAACTCACAAACAATATCACCTTCAAATAAATCACATCAACGTGGAAAATTGGTCCCTGTGGCGTCAACCGCGAAACCTCCGATGAGCCGTCCTCTCACACAATGGCCCATCTCTCAATAACGTGTGCAACCAGGGAGCCCGATCCCCATAACTGGCCGAACCGGTCTAAATCCTCACTTGACCAGCCCTCTCAATTGTTTTTTCCATTCGTCTCTTTCTTTTCCATACGCAACAGGAGGCAACCCGGATCGTCCCATCAAATCTAGATTCATCAGGCGCTCACCGAACAGGAGGCCACCCTGCCGGGCTGCGATCAAACCCTAGAAATTAATCAAGGTGCCGCCCATAAAGAAGCCAACTGTGGGTTTCCATATCATACAAATCACAACAGTAGGTACACACGGGGGCGCCCGAAATCTCCCATTTAACCTCCGGCCGACGGTCCAACCGTCCTCACAAAACCCGTGGTGACCCACTTCATCCCAATTCACACAGCAAAAGCAACAGCATTTTATCACAAAACTACAATATCAAACATGCAATTAAATGCAGACATATTGATCAGTGCTACATATCGAAATGTAAATGGCACGACTAGAACATTCATACTCAATGCAAACAAATAAATAAATAATATTGACAATAAACAACAAATGATGAAAAATAATAATTAATTGAATAAATTAAATGAACAATCATAATAATAATAAAAATAATCAGAGCAACTTTAAATTTAATTAAATAACAAGTCAAAGAATTAATCTAAATAAACTTAAATTGATTATGTTATTAATTTAAATCTAGAATAGGTTCTACCGAATTTCGGCACCACACCTCCCCTAAAAAAATGAGAATTATCTACTGCTTAAATATCAAGCAATAATTTAATGTCCATCAACCATTACACACCTGCAGCCCATTCCTTCGGGCAATCAAACATTAATTTCCCTTCCTCCCGTCCAAAATAAATCACATCAAAAATATTTAATCGTCAATGTCAAACCTCAACTTATTATAATACATTAAGTTAAAGTAAAATAAAGTAAATGCAAATAAGCGAAAAAATAGCTATTTTGATTAACCTCCACACGTTCACTAGTTAAAAACAATTTAAAATATGAATCCTTACAATCATATAAAACTTATAGCTTATGTAATTTAATAATGCAATCAAAACTAAATTCGGAGTTTTTCGAATACCAAAATAAATATATTACACATGTTTCGGCTTCCAACTAATACATATTCACAAACCATATAAGAATATTTATTAAATCATAAGCTTAGTAGAATTATACACCTAACCGCTCTTAACTACTAAGCACTCATTTTACTTTTCTTATGTATAATCAACTAGTTTTAGGCTAATGGCTATCTAAATATCTAATTAACTATTTCCAATTTATGTTTCACATTTGATTACCAACTATTATCTTAAAGGACTTAAATTCTAAAGTTTCAAAATTAATTGAATTTAACTAAGGCAAATAGTGATTTTAATTACACACTCATAATCTAATATTATCACAACTCTAATAATTATATCCTAGGTTCACATTCTCCTAAAATCCTAGGCTCACCTAGGTTCACATTCTCCTAAAAATTCTTCAACTAATTCACAGCATATTATTATAAATTTGGAATTTATACCGAGAATTAGGAACGGAGCCTTAGAGCGTACCAATTGAAATTTGGGCGAAGATTCCACGATCAGCACAAAGAGAAGAGAATTCTGCCTCTCAGGGTCTCGCCGGAGTGTCGCCGGCCGGTCACCGGACCGCCGCCGCCGGCAGCCGTGCACGGTGGCCAGAAAGTCGATTCTACCCAGAATTTCGCGTTATCCACACCAAATTGCTAGAAATTCCTTAGGGAGCCCAAATCTGACGCTTGTTTGTTGAACCAGTAGCTCATTTGGCCGGAAAACGGAAAGAAAAGCAGAAAATGGGGGAATCGGGGGCTGTGTAAATCCGGTCAAAAACGCAAAACCCAAAAGCGCCCCCTGCTGCGCTAAATAACCCCCCGAAGCCCACACGAGTGTGAGAGAGATCGGAGAGTTGTCCGCCGATGAAAGGACCGTCGACTGGTCTCAATCGCCGAGACGCGACGTCTCGAGCGAAAGGAAATCGCGAACTCGTCGTGATTCATGCTTGCCGGAATCGGAGACGAGGGAGGAAGAGGGAGAGCTCGCCGTCGAGAAGGAGAGGACTTGGAAGCGTTGGTGATGATAAGGTGCCGGAAAGTTCGTGGAGGGAGGAAGAAGAGAGGGGGATCGCGCGCTGTTCGCTGGCGCAAGGAAGAAGAGGAAAAGAAAAGGGAAAACAGAAAAAGAAAAGAAAAAAGAAAGAAAAATCTTGGCTAACTTAGACCATTTCCGGTTCGATTCGAACGGTTTTGGTCCTAATTTAAATGCTATCGGTCGATTTACTCGGTTAACAGGGTTTTTCCACTAGGCCTTTCGAAATATCAATTTGGCGTTTCGGGTCCGTTCATTTATGCAAATTACTATTTAAAATTAGTTCATAACATTCCCCTCCAGTAGCTAAATATAAATAAAAATAATATATAAAAAAAAAAAAATAGTTAGTAATCATATTTGATTTAGGACAATTAATTTATATATATATATACATAATAGATTAATTGCTTGGACTTTTCAATTTTATTACTCGAAAATTTAAACTGTTCTCAGTTTCAAAAATTTTCGACCATTAAATTTAGGTGGGCCCCAATTTGCAAAACTTGAACTCAAATTAAGAATTGTCACTATTTAACGGCCTTATAGACCGTTTAAAATTCAAATTTTGAATTTATAAAAAATTCAAAATGTTGAAAATAAAAAATTCAGGGTGTTTCAATCTGCCCCCCTTAAGACAATTCGTCCCTCGAATGAAAATCTAGTAGGGAAGATTAAGAATGAAACACAAACAACAAAGAATTTCAAAGCCATAAGAATTTACTTCCAACACCAAGGGCACAGCTCGAGAGTAGATAATATGAACCTAGGAAAGAAAAGGGTCAAGTATTCTAATTGTAATCCTCTCGCCAACCATCTTATTTAGTGCCACCTAGCTAACACTCATAAGAGTTTGAGTTTATTACCTAAATCTCCAATCACTATCTTTAGACAGCTACTGAAATCTTTAGAAAATCTTTCATTGAATAAAATTTAACAATAAAACCAGGTTTAACAGGAAAGTACATATCATATATCATAGATTTTTCTCAAAATCATGTAACTTCATTTGAAAATTTCAATTTTATTAGACATTCGTCTGTGAAGGCCAAACATGATTTACAAAGGCAAACAATTGTAATTATGATTTACTTACAATCATAAGAATTAACTCGTTTAATTACATATATGAGTACCAAAACTTTTCTTAATCAAAAGTTCAGAAATCACTACTTTAATCCAATACTTTAAGAAAAATCGTCTTGTAACTTTCGTTGTCTATTAGTATCACAGGGCGACTCAAGCTCATTCTCTTTAACTTAATCTCTCAAATTACCATAAAACTTATCACCTAATGGACTTTCACAATAACACCTTTTATCTCTCCTAGCTCTTATATTTTTAATAACTTTTCATTCCACAAATGTTCTTATATTTTTAATAACTTTTCATTCCACAAATGTTGCTATTAGTTCGTCCTAAGGATATTAAATATTCTTATTAATTATTTTGCCCACTTGGTTTCTTTCATACTACTAGTCCTCATCACTCACGACTTACATAATCACTAACATTTTTAACCTATCATTTATTATGTACCCTAAATATTCACCTTATACCTAATACTCATCAATACTAAGGTTTTTAATAAAATTTCTTAATTCTTGACCTAATGCTGCCTTACCATTCAGATATCACATCAAATCGATCTCATTAACTCCTTCGAGTTTGATTTACATATACAATTAACTTCTTTACTCTTTTGTCCATATCCTCCTGGATTACAATTTCAAACCATAATGCTAACCTTTTAATTAGTCTTATTTAACTAAGTGTTAGGCACCATATGTGGAGCTATTAACTTAGCATCTATCTATTGCTAACTTATATCAAATTCAGATTCAACTCACTTGTCTCATGTAACATCCCTTCCCAGTCCACCCGTTAACTCAAATGAACCGAGCTGAGACGCTACAATCTGGTTGAACCTATGTCCTTTCATGCTAATGTTGACCTAATGTCCTATCATGCTAAATCAATGTTGTATCTGATTATGATGTCAAGCTTCATCAAAAAGTATTGAAAAAATCAAGAGGCGCTACTTTTACTTGGTAGAGTCCTCAGGTTGAAGTTAGTGTTTTTAAATCACATGATGGATGGAAGAGGAAGGAGATTGAAGAGAAAGATGAAAGGAGAATGAGAGGAAGATGAAGAGAAGAGAGACGTGAAGATGAAGATGAAGAAAATGAAGAAGGCACTGAAATGGAAGAGACAAATACAGTGTAGTCCCAAAAATCTTATCTTTCGATTGTGTGTTAAAAAAATTACCAAAATAGTACCTATAATTTTCCATATGTTACAATTTTAATACCTAACTATTATATTTTAGTGCAAGTAAAGTTCCTACTCCTTAACTTTGATCTTTTTGTTTTCATTCAAGTAAGTCCACTTCTTTTACTTTTTTAAGTTACATCCCATTCTACCCACTCTGGATTTAATGGCTTCGAACCGGGTTCTTGTTCTGAAGCCACAACTCGAATCGACTCTATGCACGACTTCGATTCAGTAGGATGTTACATCTCACCCTATCCTTGACCTCATATTTGACTTTAGAATTTTTCAACAGAATCCTTTTCTTTATCTAAGCCTAGTAAAATAGTTCATGAAATTCTTCTAAATTTTTTTTTTTTCCTGCTATGCTACTTACTCCTCATATATACATTACAACTCGTCATATATCATTCCTTATACCCTTAAATTCTCCAAGTTCATTGCTAATGTTATTTCTTCCATTTATTACATTAAACAATCCTATATTCCAAATCTAATCGCCACTTAACTTCTATACCAAGATTGGCTACGCGACGTTTCTAGCGTTCATGTTCTCAACTTGACTATTAACTGTCTACTTACTTATTATTATCACCACCAGTCTTATTCTTCTTTTTCCAATCTTCTTTCAAATTTTACTATCCTTGTAGTCATTTCATTTTATGATCTGGTCCAATTGGCCCCATGATATAAATAGACAACTTTCAAAATGATATAAATAGACAACTTCAATCCAAAAAATAATTTTCTATATAAATAATCAATTTCACATTATTTTATCATAACACACATTTGAATTCAAAATTAAAAAGGGGTTTTAAATTTAAATATCAATATCAAGTAAATAAAATAATTAAAAGATTATCTTTTGAATAAAATTCTAAAAGAAATTCAGAGCCAGAGCTTGAATAACTAAAAATGGCCGAATTCCTAAATCCACTACAAAGTTCATAACACAAAGTTCATCAATCCGCCATTCAAATGAAAAACCTATTTATTCTCTACACTATCCTATTCACTGTAGGAATAGAGCTCACATGAAAAGTAATGCATTGGCTGATCAGGCCAATCCACTACTATCCAAGTATTACTCCATTCCCTAGCCTAAGGGTTGATACCTGCTTTAGCCCCTACAGGCATTGTGATATATTTATCTTATTGTCTGATACTTTCACTTCAAACCTTGAATTACTCCTTCTATAATCCTTGATCTACGCTATAGGTGTGGATTTTCCCACCTCATAGGGACCAGTGCGTCCACCATCCCTAGGGACTAAAAATCACACAGTTCCTATCCTTATGTTGGTTACGGCCGATCCCAACATAAGGAAATTTCCTATACTCCGCAGTTGTGTCCTAGAACCCTAACCTAAGCTCTGATACCAACTACCCACTTTGTCACGACCTCGATCCACGGGCCGGACCCGGCACTAGGGCCCACAGGAGCTAAGGCCCCCGAGGCAAACCGATAGTAAGCCTGGAAACAAACCTAAAATTTGTTAATCTTTAATATAATTTCAGGAAAAATATTCAGCCCATATTACAAAAAAATAATATAATAAACCTCAAGATTTTATTTCATCTCATTTCATAATATAGGCTCACAGAATCATTTCGTCTAATGATAATACACGACTTAAAATGTTAAAGTAATCTCAACTGCGGAGTCACTAACTATTAGAAAATATATCATAGTCCCTTTTATACATGCGAAGTTACATGTGAAATATTATGGAACTAAAGGAAATTTCTTTGGGCCTTGCGTCGAAGAAAATCCGTAACCTAAATCGAACTAAAGAAAGGAACTTACTTTCCCTGCAAAAAATGAAACAAGACAATGGTGAGTTTTTTTCCCTAAAGTGATAATTATTGCCACAAACACATACAGTTCAACACAAATGTGTAAACATATCAAATCTAAGTCATCCCGACTAGTTATATCCTCACCAGCCAGTCACAAACACAAAAATGGCAATGTCCACCCAGCACTCTCACAAACATATCCACCTTCAAAATAATCACATCACGGGAAATTGGTCTGTGGCGTCCCAGAACCCCGATGAGCCGTCCTCGTCACATGGCCCCCTCTCATAACGGTGCACCAGGAAACCGATCCCCATACTGCGACCGGACTATCTCACTTGACCAGCCTCTCATTGTTTTTCCATTCTCCTCCTTTTCTTTTCCCATTACCAACAGGAGCACCCGGTCGTCTCA